GCGCCCCAAACGCTATTACTTGCGCTCCGAAGGCTTTTGGGAAGAAGCGACTCAATTTCATGCTTTTTTCCTTTAACTGCAATTTTCTTAGATACTGAAGCTTGGTTTGACACAAAAAAGGTGAACCCATCTAATGGCTTTTGTTTTCTATGTTCTCTCTCGATTCAGGATAGAAATGAGCAAAAAGCGTGAGGGCTTCATTTGGGGTAGGTTTTTATTGTTTCTTTTTCCATTCGTCGAGCTTATACATAAGTTTATAAATTTTGACCTGTCTATGTTGCGTAAAATGATTAGTGTTTTGGTTCCTAGGTGAGTTTCTTTTGTTTTTTTTTCTTCGTTGTTTGAACTCGACTTGTAAACTATAAATGTTTTGGAAGTTGGAACAGTTCAGACGATAGGAACTTTTAAGGCGCTTGCATAAATTGAAACAATAAAAACAAAAGAAACAAAAAGAAGCTCACCCAGGAAATGGAGTTGGCCTTATCCCCTAAAAAGAAGTGAAACCTCCTTACCTCATATTCCAGATCCGCTTATGTATAGAAAGTCGTAAGTTATCAGTTAGTAGCCATTATTAAGAGAAAAGAAGGTCTCACAAGTTGGATTCCCTTATTTATCAAGCGAGCAGTCCATAATAGCGTTGGGGCGCGCTCTGCCACGTACCGACGAGCGATCGCCGAGGTCGCGAAGTATGAACGCTGCCTTATGGTCAGTGATTCTCTGCAGTCTTGTTCGCTGCCAATGAAAAAGCGTTTATGTCGGGAGAGTGATGCTGTTTGGACGCACTGAGTTTCGGCTGCTAGCGTCATCTATCAAGCCTATGTTGAAACTTTGAGTGGAAATTTGTTTCCACGTGTAGTTGGACCTCCAGAGCACGAATATGACATTCGCTCAGTCCGAATGTGCACTCCGCCTCGCCAAAGGCACCGAACTTGAAGGAATCGCTCTTCTCCTTCTGTCGGGAACCACTTCCTTCTTCCACAAGCAGCCTGGATGATCGTAGTGTTCTCCATTAGCGCTGAGAATGAATGTCATATTCGAACAGAGTGTCGAATAATACCGGTATACCAGTTTCAGCCGATATCTCTATTTAGCCTAACTTGGGGACGGCGCCTGTGACGTGATGCTGGTACCAGGCCCTTTTCTGACGAGCCAGTGTACCAGGCCCTTTCCGGCGAGCTATTCGTGCTCAGGAGGTCGAACTATCCGTGAAAACAAATTTTCAGCCGACGTGTTAACATAACTCTCCATCAATGATGCCAGCAACCGAAACTGCGTGCGTCCAAACGGCATTACTCCAGTCGGGATAAGCTTAGCGCGGAGCCGAACCTGTTCTCAACCAGTTGCTGAAGCGGGTGAGCTATAATATTCGGTGGAAAGCGACTGATACGACCGATACGATGCAGTTTTTTACTTGCTTTAAAATCTGGTGGACAACGGGTCTGGCACCGCGCTAACCCCATCCCGCCTAACATGGTTTTGATTTGCAGCAAACAAGACTGTACTTACACAGAAACACACCGCCATCGTGCTCACCGTTAGCTCTGTGGACCCTGCCTCCTCCAATCTCAGAAGTATGGACCGCATCTATCTTAGGGATGGTCGCCAGGTCGAAGTGACCATTTGTACACTCGTAATCCCTGAGATGGGGTAGGCGTGGCTGCGTACGTCGACTAAACTTGGCGGTGACTGTGCTTCTGGTGAGATATTTTCATTTTCAGACAGCTGTTATAATGCCTTTGTTCAACCCAAGTGACAGTCGTATCAAGCTGAAATGGCCCGCGAGTAATCCATCCCATACTACGCCCAAATGCCGACTCCATCTCAGGGATAGGGAGTGTAATGAGATGTACACATACACATCATACAGGAATCAAATAATTAAAGGCAGTTGGCACGATAAACCCCTAAAGACGAAAAGGATTAATATCACTGGCATGGCTGAATTCCGCGAGCCTGAACAGGCGCTGCGTAGCGCCTTTTCCAAG